GTTTGTGGATGCACTTGTAAAATACCAGTTATTGTTGTTAACTGCCTTTGAGTCAGCCTTGATTCATGGCAACCCAATGAATGAGACATCTCCATGTCTCTCTGTCCTCAACCGCTCTGCTTAGGTCCTGCATGATCAGGCCCTTGATCTCCCTCAATGGGTCCCTAAATGGGTCTCCTTACCTCTCTTTCTACTACCCTCAACCTTTTCTAGAATTATTGTCTTTTCTAGCAAGCTGTCCTTCTCATGATGTGTCCAAAGTAAGACAGCCTGAGTTTGATCATCTTAGCTTCCAAGGAGAGTTCTGGCTTGATCTGTTCAAGGACCCATTTGTTTGTCTTTTTGGCCATCCACAATATCCTCAGCACTCTTCTCCAGCACCACATATCAAATGAGTTGATTTTCTTTTTATTCACTTTCTTCACTATCCGGATGTCACATCCTACATGGTGATGGAGAATGCAATGGCTAACTTTAGCGTTCAGTGTTGTATCTTTGCACTTTGGGGTCTTGTCAGGTGTAAGCCACCTTGAGAAATAAATGTAGGGTAAAAAATATTGAAATATTTAAAGGACCAAACAGTGATTTGGACCTTCATCTATGGTATTCTGTCAAGTTCTGGGTACCACAGTTTAAGGAGAATATTGACAGGCTTAAGATAAAGAGAAGAACCAGAAGCATCTCGGTAAGTGTTTTCATTTGGGGCAGGTAACACCTCATTATAGGGTAAGATTTGTTATAGTGGTGGGAATCAAGCAGCCTCCACCCAGATGGCGTTAGAGTGAAAGTCCCAAAATCCCTAGCCAGATGGTGGTGAAGGATGCTGGGAACAGCAGTTCAGCAACATTTGAAGAGTCAACTGATTTTCACTTCTGCTTTATTGTATCAGCTGTAACAAATTCAAAGGACTGTGCATCTGGAATGTAAAAAGAGCTTGGAAAAGTTACTTTTTCCATCATGGAAATGTAGTCATGCTAACCAGTGGAATTCTGGACATTGGTGGTTCAAAAAGTAGTATTCTTGAGCTCTGTGTGTGAGACTGCTTCTGAAACTGAATTTTTAAGTGCCAATAATCAAATCAAATTCTAATTCACACACAAGTCAGTGTTTTTCTCCTTTCTTACCTGCTAATGTCATTTCCAGATGGAAGAAGTTAATCAATTGATATCCAAAGACTGTACTAGTAGAAATTATGCACAGAACTTGTTAAGCTACCTTCTCCCAGGTGTGTGGAAAGAATAGGGATAGGTTCTATATCACCAAAAGAGAGAGAGAGAGAACAACAATTCAACACATCTATGCAAACATTTTATTCAAAACTAATAATATGTATATGTGAAATGAAATGATGTTAGGTAAGCCATGCATAAGTAAATAAGGATTTTGAACCTTCTACATCCAGGGATAGGTTTTTCCTTTCACCAGCCTTTACTTTTCTGATGATTTATGTTTTAGTGCCCATCCGTATAGCATATCTCATTCTTTAAGATGCTGAGAGTAGTTGAGAAGGCATGCTTATCTGCTTTTCCCTCTGTTTTGCTGTTCGTGCATGGTCACTAAGGCATTCTGGAGGCAGCTGCTGTTTACCTTGCCTGTTGTAGGCATGTGTGCACAGCTAGACAGGATCTAGCTAAAAAATAATCTTACATAGTTTACTGCAGGCACATTACTACAACCCAACTCCAAATGTCTGTGTTTCTCCAGCCCTCCTTAACCATCTTCCCAATGTTGGTGCTGTTTTAAAGAATGCAGCTAAACAGAGGATGAGGAGGTTTGGGCAGGTATAAAAACATGCTGCATCTTTGTCAGAGGCTTTGTTAACTTAATGAGTGTTCAGTTGAGAAGGTGAATTTTCCCCATAGCTGAAGAATGCATTGCAGTCTCTTCATTAAATAAAAGTCCAAATAAAGACAATATTTTTTACATCCATCTTCCGTCCATGAAAAAAGTGTATTTTTTCACTTTTAAGTTGAATAACTTAACCAAAATCTTTGTAAGAAAAACTTTAACCTGGGGAATTGTTAAAAAGTTCAAATCTCCAATGGATCTTTTCTCCTATGTTTACGGAGGTGGCTAGGGAATAGACAAAGCTGTTCAATGAGTCTGTGATTTATTTGAGGATTCAAACATACAAAGACAGCCTAACATTCACTCAAGCATATAAGAACTCAGGAAAAAAGTAGTTAGCTTGGATAGGAAACAGAAGGCTTTCTAAAGGTGATAATTACCTGATGGAGGTTGCTTCAAAGATGAGAGAAGAGTCAGAGTTCACAGTGACACAGTGTCACCATGAAATCTAACCAGACCCAATGTGCCTGAGATTTTGGGGATCTTTTATACCCTTAAACCTATCCTGAGGTGAAGATTTGTCATTGTATATTAAAGGATTCAGATTGATACGCTTTGAAGTAGACACTTCCAAAGAGGGGAGATGGGGTGTTGTTGTTATCTCATCCTCATCCAGACACATCCTGGCTGGTGCTCATAAATTTCCTAGGTGTGAATGTCCTGCTTTGCAGCTCCTAACCCTGGCATTTTGATCAGCTAATTCATTGTAAAGGCAGATGTGACCATTCAGGTACCTACATGAGGTCTTTGCCTTGGATCCATGGCGGTTGGGCTTTTCTGGTTTAGGGCCGTGACAGGAGACCCACAAAGTTTTTAATATTAGAACGATGCTTATAACAGCATGTTCAACTACATTTTCCTGATGAAAACCATTTAAGGCCTAAAACAAAATGTGGTTGCTTGAAAAAAAGCTGTTCTTAATCTGTTGGAGAGCTAAACATAGAAGTGTAACAAACTGGCTGTTGGGGGTGACAGCACTTTTCCTCCCTCCTTCTTTTAAGTATAACTAGCAATAATAATAATGAGCACTGCATGAAGAATGAGTGCTACTAATTTGGCTTATTCTTGTGACAGTCTGACATGTTTTGCAAAAATCCCATATGCCCTAACATATTTTCCCTCATTTAGTTTATCAACTAAATGGGCTAGGTTTTTTTTACAAGCTCAGATTAGAATAATTCATATTAAGTGCAACATCATAGTTACTGGAATAGAATTTGGATATAAGCATGCCTGCAACGTACATCAAAAACCCCTGTAAAGATAACCACTGGACTGCATTTTTGTTTTATTTTTTGTCCTTGTTTTTTTGGCTATGTTAAAGGGAAATTGAGCAGTAAGAGATATAAAGGAATGTGCAGAATTGTGAGAACCAAGTCTTGTTATGAAAAAAAAAGGAAATGGCTTCAACAGGTCATTGAAAAATTGACCATTTGTTCATTCCAATACTTTTTTTAAAAGGTCACTTCTAACCAAAAGGTTTAGAGTACTACTAATGCAACAGGAAGTGGTATCACAATAGTATCAGGGTGTAGCAGTTCCTCTTGGACGGTTTCTATGATTAGTTGAAACATTCCCTCTTATTGATAGCTTAGGCTAATGGTTTTGATTAGAGTAGGAAAGCGCTAATTGTATGTATAGACTGTACCCATTTGTAATCAGTCTGAGATTTATATATTATATATATTATATACTATATATATTACAGCCAGTTTCTTATATGGGTCTACTGGTAGTCTTCCAGATTAGTTCCATGTTTGCTTAATGTTTTAACAGTTCTACATCTTCAAGT